GGGGATCGAGCATTCTGTTGAAATTTTGGGCCATAATCTGTTAAAAAAGAGCGACAAAAGAAAAAGACCAGAAGGGAAGACAAGAAGATGTAGCTTCACCTTCTATCACAAGAAAAACCAAAAAAGGTTTCCAGATGCACGAGCAACGATCCAAGAATGTTCATCCTTGGGACATTGTACCGGTGTAGGATGCAAAATCTGGTAGACGATAGTGCCACCTCACTCCATGAAAAACAAAAGGAATGAAGTGCTACACCAGGTTGAAGTTAAGAAAGATGAGCGGCAGGGTGAAGTTCGCATATTTTCTGATGCGGGAAGGATTCTGCGCCCTTCTCTCGTTGTTTCGAATCGAAGCTTTGAAAAGGAGAGCCTTGGCGTAACTGGTAAAGTTGCTGCCATGCGACCAAGAGTAGGTTCGAACCATGGAAATAAATTATTAGAGAAAGGAATAACAACGAGAAAGAATCGGAGTAAATGAAGATGAAGTGCGTACAGTTCTTTGTTCAACAGAGTAGCCTCATATTTATAGAAAGGCGACGACGGTTCGGCGAGTGGACGACCAATGCTGGTGCGCATTTGATGTTTTGGGGAAGCGTGCTGACATGACATTTCTGATCACTTCAAAGTGCCTATGTCACGGACATGACGTCATCATGAGAGGCTCGGGAAAATCGAGGTTCAAATAGTTTCTTATCATCTTATTCTAAGAAACGCGGGGACTATCTATATACGGTCAAAATTATATGCCTCCGATTTATAGGCTCGAGGGTCCGTCATAGGCCCCAGTTTGGGTTCGAGACCAGTGGACCAGAATCGAGCTCAAAGACAGGGTGCAATACCCGGAGATAGGAGTACGAGGAATACCGGGGCCGAGTATGCTCGACCCCGAAATAGTTCTGTTATGAATTTGTAACAGAATAAGCTAGATTCTTGCCACGTTCCTATGATCATGGCGCAAATCCCGGAATAGGATTGCACGATCCGGTACTAGGCGGTTAGACAACTATACCAAGGATATTCCTTATTGTAAATAGAAATATTCCTTATTTAGGGTTCCCCTATTATATAAAGGGGACCCCCGTCATTTGTAACGACACATAATCACTGAGAAAAGAATATACTCTCTACTTTTTGCCTACTGTTCACCAGCATTGTCCTTTAGCTCTACTGCTTTTGCTCTACTTTTCTTACTTTATTGCTCTTAGCCCGTCTCGAGATCACCATCTCGAGGTTAATACTGTCAAGTAATATTGGTTTGATTCACTTGTCTCTTTCACTTCTACTTCATATTTCTTGATTATTAATTGGTATTGAACTAAATCACATATCTTTAAAACCACAAATCAAATTTAATTGTTACTCGTATTTTCGAGGTAAACATAAACACTTGTTGCCAAGAACTATGTGATTTTGTTTTTTGTTTATCAAGCATGTTTTGCATTATCTATATATAAGTCTTTCTTCTCCGCTCCATTGTTTATAAGTTGGATTAGCACAAAGTTGATTAAAATAACTAAATTGTTGAACTGATAACTAATTATGAGTTGTAAATTGATTATTTACACAATAGTTAGTAACCACGGAAACAAAATTGATTAAATCAAATAAAATGATTCATTTAATATCTCTAAGGCAAAAGGTGGAGCAGCTGATGACTATTGTAAATTATTCAAGAAGCCTTAGATGCGAAGTTATATTCGCCAACATATATAACATGGTTTTGGAGCTTATATGTGGATTGAAGACTTAGCTTTTCGGACTTCTAGGAGAGTCTTAATGCAGCTGGTAGGTTTACAATATAAAACTCAATCTCGAGAAATGTGTCTTCGGAGTGGATTCGGGCAAGTTCTTAGGCTTCATGGTGTCAAACAGGGGGATTGAGATCAATCCCAATAAAATCAAAGCAATCGAAGAGATTACGGCGGTGTTACATAGGTTGAGAAGCTCATTTGAAGTAGAATTAAAATTAGTTCCTTCAAAGTATTGAAATAAGAGAAAAGAAAGTTAAATCGCTAGATTGTGTGGATAGAGAAAATAAGTCAGAAAAGATATGACATTGTATCCGATATTGTAATCTTCGTTGATCAGCACAAAAGATATACGGTCTTGCAAGAATGTATTACTTTAAAAATTCTGGCCATCTCAAATAAAATTTGGTGTGGAGCCCAGTTGTCACGGGCTTGATTTTTGTCTGCCAAAACCAGCCCGTGCGGCAGTCAGGCTCACGCCCAACTTCAGCCTTCTTACAACACTTAGCCAAAATTTCAGGAAGTTTAGACTTAGAATATTTTTAGGCAGCTTTCAACGTAGTAAGTTTGGGACTGTTTTAGGCAACGAATTTAAGTAAAGGAAACAGAAAATTAACAAGAACACAAGGCACAATATACAGGAAACTCTTTTTCCAACTTAATATTTAACTCGAGCATACAAAGAAACTCAAACTCAAAGTACAATGTCGTGTACAAGATCACTCTTGACCCTCAGATTTTCTCACAAGACTACGCTTAGCTTTAGGCTTTTTCACTCTTGAAAACAGACTTAGGAACTCTTTCCTAACTCAAGCATGAACTCCCACACGTTTTTCTCCCTCCTCCTGCCACAAACATAAGGGTGTTGCACATTTATAGAATATGTGATAGCCCTTTGCCTTTACATTTGTCGCTCTTAGACTTACACACTTGTCTCACACAATGCACTATTTTAGCCTAGTGTAGTTGATATCCCCCAAATACTAGGATCATGTTAGATCATGCTAATATAATGGAAACATGGCTACAAACACGTTATAGCACCACCTGCCAGATTTGAACAAAAAGCCAACTCCGTCATGTGTACAATATGTGCCTTGTAACCGCCTTTGACTTTGTCAATGCTGGAACTTGCTGCCTATGTGCGTGCCTTGGCTTGAATCAGGCGCCAATGCCTTGATCTCAGGTGCATTGCAGCGACATGTAGCCCTTGCCAATGCCCACTCCCCAAAGTCATGACAAGTCTGCCTTACACGCATGCCTTCATTGCACTTTGTCTGCCTTTGCCCACTTCATTTTTGCCTCACCATTATTGCCTCATGCCTTGTTGCTTTTGTCATGCCTTAGTGTCACCTTCAGCACGCATCTCATTGCCAAGCTGCCTTGCCTCCCTCAAAACCTTGTCCATCACTTGCCCGTTTTCTCTTTTGCCTTGGTGGTGGCTTGTGCCCTTAGCCGGGCAACACTCATGCTGCCCCATGACAACACTCTCGTTGTCAAGTCAACCTCAACGAGGCGGACCCCTAACAGCAGGCTAGCCAGCACTGAGAAACGCCTTTCTCTTTTTTGTTGATTTAGATGACCTGTGAAAATTGAGAAACTCACTTGGCAACCCTGCCCCCACCACACCAAATTGACGTTCGGCCGAAGGAGTAGCAGCACTTTCGTTTAGATTGTAGACTACAGTGCGCAGTTGGTCCCCTGTCTACTATTTGGGCAACTTCCTCTCCGTTATGCCGCTGCTTCTTATTTAGTGCGACATATAATGTGTCACAGCTGTTCTAATAATGTCCTTTATTTTATCGGTAACAAAATTTCAAATGGGAAATCGCTACTTAAGCTTTAAGTTAACGAATCAAGATGAAAGTATTGGAATCTAAAATAACTCAATCTTCAGCTCTGCCTGTCAAATTAACTTTATTGATCTTTACTTTTGTTTTCTCTTTTTGAATTTTCCCAAGTCAATAACATATGACTAAAGGCGTATGGACTTGTATGCTCGTAAAGCTCATTTTTTGATACCTATTATTATAGATTCCATCTGTACCAAGTCATGCCTGCCCAAGCAAGAACAACTAAAAGATAAATCTAGAGGAATTTTCACAAACCACTAGTGTTTAGTAGCTATTAATTTTCTATAACTATTATATACATAATTACTTCCTATAGCTAACATTCAGTTGTTACGGTAATGTATTCGCTGTATTCGCGCTGCTGTATTCATGAATATAGCAGCAAAAAGCGCCTAAAAATCAGGGTAGTCCAGCTGTACGCGCATGTATTCACATGTATTCGCGCCATGTATTCATGAATACAACAGCAAGAAGCGCCTAAAATCAGGGCAATCCAGCTGTACTAGCATGTATTCACATGTATTCGCGTTGTTGTATTCATGAATACAGCAGTAAAAAGCATCTAAAATCAAGGAAGCCCAGATGTACGCGCATGTATTCACATGTATTCGCGCGCATATATTCATGAATACAACAACAAAAAACGTCTAAAATCAGGGCAGTCCAGCTGTATGTACATGTATTCACATGTATTCGCGTCATGTATTCATGAATACAGTAACGACAATCACCTTAAAAATAGGTATGTCTAGTTGTCTAAGAGAGAGGAAAAACATAAATAGCGTATTTCATGTCTTATTTCATGCCTCAATGGTAGTATATATCATAAATACTTATTTTGCTATAAAATATAATAGGTAGCTATAGATAATACTATTTTAAAATAATTTTGATTTATAATAAATCGGGCGTATACCTTTACTATAAGAGGTAAAATTTCTATAAATCTATTATTGTTAAAAGGCAAGAAAAATTTAAATAAACCCAAGTAATTCATCGTTCTCTCAAAACGAACAATTAAATATTTTTCAGAATAAGCCATAAGCAACCAACTACGACCAATATATTTATGTCTTAATCTTTGACAGAATCAGAAGAAAGGAAATTCCAGCATGTGCAAGCAACCAAAAGCACAACAACAAAATAAAAGCAGAGAATGGGACAGATTCTGATAGCAAATGTTACTTGTTCTTGTCCCCCTACCCCCCCCCCCCCCCCTTTTACCCTCCCCCCTTCCCCTCACAACTCCAATAAAAGGCATGTGGCATGAAATGAGTTATGTCCTTTCTCTAGCCCCAGTTCTTTTTTCCCCTCAAATCTCAACCATTTTAACGTAATGGAAAACTAAGGAATAAATACACTTCTTCTAAAACTTAGAAATAATACATTGTTACACTAATCACCTCTTCTTGTACTTTTCCTTGCCTGTGGAAAAGATAGAGCTCAAACCAAAAAAACTTGGTGGAGGGACATTTAATACTGAGTTGATTTTAATCCCATTGTTGTATGTATTACTTGGAATCTTCCTCAATGGAGGTTTTTGATACTGACCTGTAGATATAGAGGATGATGATTTCTGGGAATGCTGTTTGTGCTTAACACTTGGAGTTGAATTACTTCGAGATAAAAGTGGCAAAGGACATAAAGTCCTAGCATAACTAGTACTACTACTGCTACTACTAGTTCCACAATTCAAACTACGACTACGCTTGAAGTTCCAAAATGACTTCGAGTTGTTGCTGTTCTGCTTTTGATCGTCTGAAGATGAAGACGATGATGTTTCAAGAATCCCACTTTTTATTTCACTTAAATTTTCATTCTTGAAACATGTGTTACTGGGCGCGACCAACTTATGACTTTTCGTGCGTGGCTTTTCTGCCTTGTTGAGTGGAAGAGTTGGAGCAATATTTTTTTTCTTCATTTCAATGGGAAGAATCTTGCCATAAACTGATTCTTGAACAGCAGCCGCCGACATATAATCCGGTTGGTTTGTTCTTGAACAAAGACGATGGAGTTTGGGGCTGAGCAACTTGATTTTCTGTTAATATATTTCAATGTATTTTCATGCATTTCATTGTATTCATTGTCTTTTTTTTCATTGTATAATTCAATGTGTCTCATTGTATTTCATTGTATTCACTATCTTTTTTTCTCATTATATTTTAATGTATCCCGCTGTATTCTATGTATTTTATTGTATTCACTGTCTCGCTATATGCCATGAATGTATTCATAAATTTTTTTTTAATTAATATAATTTATGTATTCAGATGTATTATATAATTTCTCTTAAGATTGCTATATTTTTGGAGTATTTTTCGGTTGAGAATCTTTTTTATAACTGAAAATACAAAATTTGTGTGTTATAATTGAGTTTGTTGAGTTATATTAGGAGTCTATTATGTTAACTGATTCACTTTCCGTTTAAAAACGGTGTAATGCCCTATTTCACGCCGTGAATACAGTTGAATACAATAATCTGTCCGGCTGTAATCCCATGTTTCACTCCATGAATACAGTCGAATACACTCGAATACAACAACTGATTAGCTGGACTTCCCTGATTTACGCCTATTTTTGCTACTGTATTCATGAATACAATAGCTTAAATACATCAAATACATCTTATAACCACATAAAAAGTATCTATAATCCGTAATATAGCAAATAATATCTATAGATAACTAATTACTACTAAAAGATAGTGCTTTATGAAAATTTCCCATTTTATTACTAGGGAAAAGTGGGCACTCTTCAATTGTATTCAAATTTGCTACACACAAAAAGTTGGAGAACTTATTCTTCGGTGAAGTAGTAGCTAAAAAGTAATGTAGAAGCACAAAAAGTGAAAAAGGAGGCTAACGAGGATTATATACTATGCTAGTTGAATAGAGTAGTCTTTCAAGTCTACTCAAGATGCATATAATATCACTATTTTGTTAAAAAAGAATATATTAGAGAGAATTTTACATTATTTATATACTTAAGTGAGTTCATTACTCAAATGGTCACTCAACTATCCCAAATTATTTCCTAAAGTCACTTTGCTTTCGTTTGTAACAACAAAGTCACTGAACTATGCCTATTGCACTCGGAATGTCACTCAACTAGATTTTTTAAATTTTGGATTGCCAAATACCTACTTTATCCTCTAATTATAAACATTTATCTTCTTTTTAGTTTTTTTTAACTTTTTAATATTATGATTTTCCCTTTTTAATTTATATTAAGGACTTACCTATAGAATAAATAAATATTATTTATAAATTAAAAAAATAAAAAGTATTTAAGCATATATAATGCTGGAATAAAAAAATAATGAGCATAGTAAAAAAAGCATTAATTACCATAATTTCTTAGTAATAATAATTTTAGTATTAACAATAAAAATTCAAAAATTTATTTACACAATTCAGAATAAAAAAATAAAGGTTGTAAAATATATATTCCATGCACGTAATATAAAAATAATTATTTAAATAAAGGCAGTTTTATAATATACATTATATATTCTTGAAAATTATGCTCAATTATATCATTATGTTTCTACCAACTTTCCGAAGACACAAAGTTATGTCACCGGAAAGCAGGGACTATCTATATAGGGTAAAATATGCTATGTTAAGTTGTGCATGGAATATATATAATATAATTGAGCATAATTTTCAATAATATATAATGTTTATTGTAAAATATTTTTATTTAAATAATTATTTTTATATTACGTGCATGGAATATATATTTTACAACCTTTATTGTCTTTCATTCTGAATTTTGTAAATAAATTTTTGAATTTTTGTTGTTAATACTAAAATTATTGTTACAAATAAATTATTCTAATTAATTTTTTTATTATGCTCATTATTTTGTTATTCCAGCATTATAGATACTTAAATACTTTTTATTTTTTTAATTTATAAATAATATTTATTTATTCTATAGGTAAGTCCATAATATAAATTAAAAAGGAAAAATCATAATACTAAAAAATTTAAAAAATAAGTAAAAGAAGACATAATTTAGAGGGTAAAATAGGAATTTGGCAATCCAAAATTTGAAAAATATAGTTGAGTGACCTTCTGAGTGCAATAGGCATAGTTCAGTGACTTTGTTGTTACAAATAAAAGAAAAGTGATTTTAGGAGATAATTTGAGATAGTTGAGTGACCATGTGAGTAATTGACTCATACTTAAGTTGAACTTTATATTTAAATTTTAAGATAGTAAACAGAAAAACATCTCAGTACCTCACCCCTGCACTTTGGTACCTTTTCTCCATTTTTAAAAACTAATAAAAGGTTAAAGAAAAATCCTTTTCTCTTCTATTAAAATGGTCGACCTTTTTAATGGTTAGCAGAACATTTCTTAAAAAGGATCCCCTTATACTCTCTTGTCCACCAAAGAAAACTAACTCCATCAAAATACAAGTTTTATCTTACCACTCTTCAACGTTTACTTTTCCTATTTTTTTTTTGGTACGAAAGATAAATATTATTAATTAAACATATGCGTACAGAGACATTGATGTTCAAGTTGCACCATATTACAAACTAAGCTATTACTAGTAGTAGGTACATTGTTTGTGGTATTCCTAATGGAACTATCATCACAACAACATAGTAGTAGTAAAGACTTTCTTCTCTAGGCGCACGTTAGAGTGCATGAACTAACGTACGCCAATCGCCATGGGAAGGGGAAGGCCGAAGAAAATCGTTACTACACACATTCCAGTGGAAGCTTCAGCGTCTCAGACTCCAGTTCAAAAATCCAATCATGATCAGAAAAGTGTTCAGGAAGAAACTCCGATGGAACAGTGGCCGATATTGACGAATATGAAGGAGAAGGGACAAACTTCAGGGATGAGAACGGAACAAGCTAGTATAACTCAATTAGAAGCAGTGATAGCACATGCAGATACTAATTCAAGTGGAAAAAGGATAATTGAACAGAATAATCGAGCAATTACCAAGGAAGCAGAGAAGCAGGGAGAAGGTGATGTAGCTGGAAAAGGATCAGAAAAATGGGCGAATCTATTCGTAGGTTCAACTTTTGCAGCAAAAGGTATGGATCTGAGCTATATTCCGCCTACTATCAGAAATGGAGAAATAACAGTTGAATTATGCAAAGAAGAGGTAGAAGAGGAAACTCAAAAGTGGAAATTAGCTTTAATTTTGTATGTTGTGGGGGGTAGTCCGTCAATTGGTGCAATGGAGAGATATATAGCTTCGATGTGGAATTTTGTTGCAAAACCTAAAGTCTACTTCCATAACGATGGGTATTTTTTGGTGAAATTTAATTCGATTGAAGATCGGGATGAGGTATTGTACTCTGGGCCACACATGATGAATAATAAGCCAATTATAGTGAAAGTGTGGTCAGCTGATTTTGATTTAAACAAAGAAGTTCTGCAGACCATACCAGTGTGGGTGAAATATCCAAATTTACCTTTGAATTGCTGGGGTAAGAGATCACTAAGTAGGATTAGTAGTGGATTGGGAGTACCTTTGTATGCAGATGCATGTATTACACAAGTTGACAGGATCTCATATGCTAGGGTGTTAGTGGAGATGGATGTGACAAAAGAGCTACCAAAATCAGTTAAAGTAACTGATCCTAATGGGAGAGAGTTTATGCAAGTAATTGAATATGATTGGGTGCCGGAATTCTGCACAAAATGTATGCAGGTGGGACATCAATGTAGAAGGACAGACCAGCCAAACATAAGGAATAAGAACATAAAACAGAAACAGGAATGGCAACCAAAAGGGATACCAAAAGTAAATGAAGGAGAGGAGAGGAAAACAGTGCAAGGGGAAAACACAAGTAAGGAGATAATAAATAATCAGGTGGAGAGTCATAAAGGGAAGGAGGAACAACAATGGCGAACAGCTATAGGAAGATCAGTAGCAAAGATAAGGGATAAACAGCAGACAGAAGTAGTGACCATATTGAATGGTTTCAACTTGCTTGCAGAATCTTTGATGTCATACAAAGAAGGAGAAGGTAGCAGTAGACAGAGAAAGGATACAGGACAAGGGGGAGGTACTCAAAACCTCTTTATTCCAGTATGAAGCTCATCACTTGAAATGTAAGAGGCTTGAATAAGCATGCTGGCAAAATGAGGTAAAGTGGTTTATTGCAAGTAATAAAGTGTATATAATAGCAATATTGGAACACAAAATCAAAAAACAAAATGCAGCACAAGTTATTAGGAGAATAGCTCCAGGATGGAAGTATATAGATAACTATGAGCAGAGTAGTAAAGGGAGAATATGGATAGCATGGGATCCCAACGAAATAGAATGTAAAGAGGTGTGTAAAACTGAACAACTGATCCATTCCAGAATATATGTGAAGAGACTAGATACTCAGATTAACTTTACTGCAGTATGGATTGCATAGTGTAGAGCAAAGGAAAAGCCTATGGTCTACATTAGAAAGTATTCACTCAACACAGCAAGGAGCTTGGTTAGCCATGGGTGATTAAAATGCTATAAGGAAGGGGGAAGATAGACCAGTGGGAAGTCCTGTCCAAGAAGCTGAGGTTAGAGATTTCAATGATTTCATGATAAATAATGGGTTAGCTGAATTAAAAAATAGTGGAAGAAGGTATACATGGACTAATGGGAGCACTTATAGTAAGATTGATAGGGCAATTGTTAATACAGATTGGTTACTCTCAATGGTACAGAATGAAGTGTGGGTTATGGATCCTCATAGTTCAGACCATTCTCCTATGAGTATTGAACTGGAGGTACAGGAAGAAAAGAATGCAAAGCCTTTTAAATTCCTAAATCATCTAGCTGAGCATGACAATTTTCTGAAGACTGTTGATGAAGTTTGGAGTCAATCTTATGGAAGACAGAAAATGTGGAGTGTATGGCAAAAAATGAAGAAAGTAAAGCAAGCAATGAAGGAGTTGAACAAGGCAGAATATAATGGTGCAGAGGTGAAGGTCAAGGAATGTAGACAGAAATTGATAGAATTGCAGAAACAAATGAGGACCCCAGGGCAAAATAGACAACTAATAGAAGAGGAGAAAGAAGCAAAAATACAACTGGAAAAATGGTCACAAATAGAGGAGAGTATTATGAAGCAGAAGTCTAGAATTAAATGGTTGCAATTAGGGGATGCAAATACTGCTTACTTCTTTGCCAGCATGAAGAGTAGATGCAATCAAAACAAAATTAGAAGATTGATAAAAAGTGATGGCAGCTTTGCATACACAAAGAAGGACATAGAGGAAGAGGTGATAGGTTTCTATAAGCAACTCTTGGGGACTTCAGCAGATGAACTACCAGCAGTCAATCCAGTAGTAATGAAAGATGGTCCAAAGGTGAACAGAATACAACAGATGCAGCTAGTAGCAGAGGTGACTAAGGAGGAAATATATCAAGCTTTGGAAGGCATCAGTGATATGAAAGCTCCAGGTTGTGATGGTTTTAATGCAGTTTTCTTTAAAAAAGCTTGGCCAGTGATAGGAGAAGAGATTACAAATGCAGTGCTAGAGTTCTTTGAAGAATCTCAAATGTGCAAACCAATCAATGTTACAACAGTTACCCTCATACCAAAGGTGAAAGATCCTGTCAAAATTTCTGAGTATAGACCTATTTCCTGCTGCACAATTCTATACAAAATTATATCCAAGGTTCTAACTAACAGGCTAAAGGATATCATGGATGATATAGTGGATAAAAACCAGGCTGCATTTGTTCCTGGTAGGCTGATTAATGATAATATAATACTAAGTCATGAATTAGTTAAAGGATATAATAGGAAAGGGGTATCCCCTAGATGCATGATGAAGATAGACATGAAGAAAGCTTATGACTCAGTGGAATGGAGATATCTAGAACAAGTCCTAACTTGCTTGCAAATACCTGAGAAGTTCATACAGTGGATCATGCAATGTACTACCACAGTATCCTACTCCATCCTGATCAATGGTGCACCTACAGAACCTTTTAAAGCTAAGAAGGGACTTAGGCAAGGAGACCCCTTGTCACCTTATCTCTTTGTGATAGTTATGGAATACTTAACAAGACTGCTAAAGACTCTCAGAAAGAATCCAGACTTCAACTACCATCCAAAATGCAGCAAGATGAATATTATTCAGTTGAGCTTTGCAGATGACCTATTGCTGTTTAGTAGGGGAGACAGGATGTCAGTACAGTTGGTATTTCAATGCTTTCAACAATTCTCAGAAGCATCAGGGTTAATATATAATAGAGAGAAAAGTTCTATAATATTTGGAGGAGTCAGGGAAGAGCAGCAACAACAGATATTAGATGATCTGGGATTTGTCAAAGGGGAACTACCAGTGAGATATCTAGGAGTGCCTCTTAGCACTAAGAGGTTATCCTTGGTACAATGCCAGCCTTTAATAGAGAGAATGCTAGGAAGAGTTCAGTCTTGGACAACAAAATTTCTGTCCTATGCAGGTAGAATTTAGTTGATCAAAAGTGTCTTGTTCTCTATACAAATATACTGGTCACAGATTTTTGTACTTCCAAAGAAGCTGATCCACACAATTGAGAAAGTTTGCAGAACTTTCTTATGGACTGGGAGAACAGAAGAATCCAGGAAAGCTCTAGTGGCTTGGGAAACTTTGTGCAAACCAAAGGCAGCTGGTGGTTTAAATCTGCTAAATGTTGAAGCCTGGAATAAAGCTGCAATTTGCAAATTGATGTGGAATTTGTGCAAAAAGAAAGGTAGGTTATGGGTGCAGTGGGTGCATGTGTATTACAAGAAACAGATAGCAGGGTGGAATATTGAAGCAAAACAAGCTTCATGGATAATTCAGAAGATTTTCAAAGCTAGTCAATACTTTGAGGAAGCTGGATATAAGGAAGACGATATGGAGAAGACGGAGAGCTTTTCAGTGAAACAACTATAAACAAAATTGAGAGGAAATTTTGAGCGAGTCACATGGAGGAAGATTATGCAACGAAATCTGGGAGCTCCAAAGTGAAAGTTTATTATCTATCTAGCTGCTCAAAGGAAACTAATGACCAAAGATAGGCTAAGAGGAATGGGATATGTAGAGGAAGTCACATGTGAATTATGCAACAAAGAAGAGGAGTCTATTGATCATTTATTCTTTTCTTGTCCATACACTTTCAAAGTGTGGACAGTTTTATTGAAATGGCAGGGGATAAGCAGGAAAGCAATGCAATGGAATGAAGAGCTAAACTGGGCAGTCAAATATTACAAAGGAAGAAGCATAAAAGCAGAACTTTACTTGCAGAAGCGGGATACCATGTATGGCAGGAAAGGAACAACAGAATTTTCAGAGGTGTGAAGCAGACTATTCAGGAACTTGTTCGAACTATAGCTCAAGCAATACACGGAAGAGGAAGATGTATACAACGACTTCAAGTTAGTTTAGATGAGATGAATTACTATCCTACTTGTATGTAATAGAAAGGAAGAAAGTAGATTAAAGTTAGAGTTGAGAAATGTAAACAGTCATGATTGTATAATTCCTTCTTGAAATGAAATGAAATTAATTACCAAAAAAAAAAAAACATAAGGGGTTGATAGTAGGTGATGTACATTCGTGTTTCCATTTTGTGGTTTCTTGCTGCTCCTCCCAACTGATACAGCATGGTGATCTTCTAAGGCACATCCTTTTCCTATCCTCGGTACCTCATCTGGTTCTTATGGAATAACGATATGGGTGACAAACGGGTGGGTCATGCCGGATGTCGACTGATTGAAAGCAGATAATACAGAATTGACAAAATATTCAACCCGAGCATATTTAATATGGATAGATAATTAATTAATCGACGGATAATATGGGCATTCATACTATCCATGCCTTCTTGAATATGATCACTTTGGAAGAATTTCTAGTATCCCAATTTGAGTCTTTGCAAATGTAAAAGTTAAATTCATTGGTTATCCATTTTTTAAAGTGGATAATATGAATCTTATCCATATTTGAATCATTTTTAAAAAGTTCATTATTCAACAATTTTTTAACGGATAATATGGATGGATAGCTATTTTTTTTAAAAAAAATTCATTTTGCCACCACTAAATAACGATAACACTTTTAAGTTTTCATTTTGGACTTCTTTTTCTTGGACAACATAAGATTTGGAGAAATTTGGGGTATTATCTTTCAAGAATCAAAAGTTCCTAAATCTGCACATGTTATGTTATGGCACCTCTGAATAGATCAACTTTTGTTTGGAGATTCTTAATAGCTACGAAACATGACATGACGTACTATTACCCAAATGTATGAAACATGACACAAAATAATTATCGGATTCCCTAGGTTTATTTGGCGTAACTTCAACTTATGATTTATGATTTATGATTGTCAATTGTCATGATGAGTACATGTACCATCAAATTGCGAGTCCGGAATCAAAATGTAATTCTTTTGAACAAGTAGCACCTTAATAGGTGTAAAAAAAAAAAGATGACATTTTTATATATAGCGCCCAAATACTGGGCGCTATACATTAACGTTAACTGTGCCGTTAATGTATAGTGCTGAGAATTTGGGCGCTATATATAAAAAACTGCCACGCCCAGTTATAGCGCCCAAATACCCGGCGCTATACCCCTTTTTTAAAAAACGAGCCGTCTTCTTCAAGACGACCATTCTGCTTCTTCTTCCTCAATATTTTATATCTTCTTCTTCTTGGTCCCCCACTCCCATACCCGTTGCCCCACTATTTTTTCAAAAAAAAAACTAGGGTCCCCCGTCCACATAAAAGGTGAAGAACGTAGGTCCCATATTCGAGTAGAGCTTCGTATTATTGTTGATTCACACTTCCGAAGTCAAAATTTCAATCTGTTTGCTTTCCGAAAATTCTAAATCGAGGTATTTCAGTTTATTTTAAGTTTGAAACTTTTATAATAATGCATATTATTTGATTTGTATGTGTTCTATTTCAGTTTGTGTTTTTTTTTACGTAAACTAGTATGTTAAATTTAATCCGGATTTAATATTAGTGTTTTATAAAAAAATAATAAATTTAGTTCAAATAAAATTTGTCTGTTAATATCGTGATTTATATAT